TATCATTACTGCTAAAGGAGGCCGAGGAGTAACTAAACATCTGACACAATGAGCAGGAAAGTGCAGGAGGGACAGGTGAAGTAGCCATGGTGCTAACGAGTCGGCTAAGCTAAGCTAGCGAAACAGTACAGAGACAGTGAGTGAATACTTTGGCTATAAATTAGGTAGTGAGTACACAGAAAGTGTGCTCCGGATGAAGCACGTGAAGATTATACTCTGAAAAAAGAATGTATTTTAAAGTTTTTAATTAAATTGCATAGCAGATAAGCTACTAAGAAACACCACTGTGTTTGAGCAGGAACAGGAAGTGATACTCTACCACAGAGAGAGCGAACACCAAGTGACAGCGCCATCAAGAGTGAGCAGAAGGCAGTGTCTCCAGTCTTTAGCAGTTCATGCACTTCTGCAGTCATCCATAGTTTCTGGTTGGAGCATATTTTGATAGTCTTAGAGACAGTGACATCATCGATGCACTTGCTGATGTAGCTGGTCACAGATGATGTGTAAATAAATAAATAACAGTGCTCAATATGTTGCTTAAATACAATACAGTGGTAATAAATTAAATAAATTACTAGTGGAAACATTAATATAAAAATATTTAGAAAATGCCCCTAGACTGTAAAATGTTTCAAATCAACAGATTCTTCAACCTCATACCAAATTCCCTCTCCTTCATACTGCACTTGGCACATTCCTTCCCAGAAGCTTTACCATAAAATGAGACAAAAAAGACCCAGATTGGCTTGGCACTTTGTGTTTTTTGTGTTTTTGTTTAGAGGCCAGGCCAGGTGCAGTCTGGAGGAGAGGTTATAAACAAATTGGTCAGGACTTTTAAACCAGCACTTTAAATTCAAATTCAAATTTTATTTGTCACATACACAGTCATACACAGTACGATATGCAGTGAAATGCTTACACAACTGCTCGTGACCTAAAGAAAAAAGAAAAGGCTATGAATAAGATAGGAAATAAATATCTTATTCCTATCTAATAATAATAAGATATTTATTTCCTAAGTATCTTATTATTTATTTATTAATAATAATTATTATTATTTATTATTAATTTCTTATAAATATCTTATTAAGCAACTGTCTTCATGATTTAAGAAGTAATGCGGCAGCAATATATGTAAAAGCGTTAGATTAAAGACACTGCAGTATGCTAAGAGGTTGTGGGCCTCCCTGTTTATGTTGTTAGCTGGAATTTGGCATAGAATTTACATTAGTACTTATCATTTATGTTGAGCCACTGTGCACATATCACTTTACATTTTCTCTTTCTAGTTCCCCCTAAGGTGTTTCTGTACAAAACGAAATCCCAGGTTGAGACAAAGCTCACTTTGGTGTGTGTCGCCAACGGCTTCTACCCAGATGTTATCACCATGAGGATCAAAAAGAGAGGACAAATTCTAACAGAAAAGGAAGGACTGCAAAGCACAGGAGTTTTCAAAAATGACGATGAAGCCTTTGAGATAAAAATAGAAGTGGAGGTTTTAAAGTCTGACCTGTCCATGTACAGCTGTGAAGTCATTCACAGCGCTAAGAAGATTATTAAGTTTTGGGGTAAGAAACTTTTATTTTGTTTTTGTCATTTGTCAAAAGTGAGATTTACTGATTCTTTAGAAGACTCTCTTTGTCATTATTTTTCTGATCACACAAAAAAATAATTGGTACACTCATGTTTGAATCCAGCTTTAGCTTTTAATGTATTCAGAATTTGAATATCAATGTGTGTTGCACATAATCTATTCAAGTCACAATACTCTAACATGCATTATGTGAGAATTTGGCATATTTACAGCAACTTACAATATTCAGGTAAATGCATGATAACAATAATGGATTGCATTTATAAAGCACTTTTCAAGGCACCCAAAGCGCTTTACAATTCCACTATTCATTCACACACTGGTGGAGGCAGCTACAGTTGTAGCCACAGCTGCCCTGGGGCAGACTGACAGAAGCGAGCCTGCCATATCGCGCCATCGGCCCCTCTGGCCAACACCAGTAGGCGGTAGGTGAAGTGTCTTGCCCAAGGACACAACGACCAGGACAGAGAGCACGGGGAATGAACTGGCGACCTTCCGGTTACAGATGCACTTCCCAACCCCCTGAGCCACGGTCGCCCCAATCTCCAGTTCCACCGCATCTCAAAAGTGCTCTTTTTGATGTGTGTGAAGGTTCTCAGTCATCCAGGTCGTCGTAGTCTAAGGAGCTTGGAAATAAAAGAATCTGGACTTCTTTAAGTTTCTTGAAGACGTTTCACCTCTCATCCGAGAATTTTCTTAGGCTTCTTCTTATGTAACTGGTTCATCCCAAAGACAAAACTCCTAAACACAGACTTAACAATGTGGTGTATGCTGTACAGTGCAGTGAGGAATGCACAGACCTCTACATTGGAGAGACCAAACAGCCACTTCACAAATACACAACATAGAAAAGCCATCAAGACTTGGCACACAATAAGCAATAAGCTCACCCGAAACCCTGGGTGATTGTGACCCACACCTGTTTTCACACCTTGGCTCATGTGATTAGGTAGAGGATCATCAGGGGGTCCTTTTGTCCCTCTTTGTGGGGAAACTCCCACTGGGTTTAAATCTGGGACTCTCCGCCATTTGACTTTAGAACTGAAGAAGCTTGTTGGATGAGAGGTGAAACGTCTTCAAGCAACTTAAAGAAGTCCAGACGCTTTTCTTTCCAAGCTCCTTTGACTACGATGACCTGGATGACTGAGAACCTTCACACACTTTCATGATTGAAGTATCAACAGGAGGGTGAGAGAAAGAGAGAAGATGAGGCAGCTGTGCAGAGTAACTCCAGCTTTGTGTCTTTTTCCATTGTAGCTGAAGTCCGGGACAAACTGTGTTCCTTTTCACCTCAATACGAAATACGTAATATTTTCTCTGAATACAGGACGATTCAGTTTTTTACAGGACGGTTGGACACTCTACTAACTAATCTTATGAATAAAATAAAGTTCATTATCAGTAACACCATAGCACCCACCCAGCTGTACAGAAACTCCGTCATGCTAGCTAGTATAGTCAGCATAATGAAAATAAACTCCACCTAAACTTGGTTTATATCTGACCAGATAGACTGCAGGTCATAACTTCTTACCTGAAGTTCAGTTCACTTGACACTCGGACCGGCAGCTGCCTCGGGTCTCTGCTCCTCCTGCCTCCCCTTTCTCTCATCCACCTGTTGCCTCTGTGGAAGCTCCGCCACAGCCACCACCAAACAACTGGATTATTTTTACACATAGACCAGCATCCAATCCACCACCTTTCATTGTTTATACCGTTACAACAAAACAAAAAATCACCGGCCATCGGACATACCTGACATTTGCCCGGTATGTCCGATGGCCAGTCCAGCTATGGTGGTGCCATCAGTTAACCCTTTGTGTGCAAGCTGTGGCACGCGTGCCTAGAGTTTCTGACCCCTGTATTAAACAAATATGTAAGACTGCGTTCTTCCATTTGTGCAACATCTCTAAAATTACAAATGTCCTGTCTCAGAGTGACGCTGAAAAACTAGTTCATGCATTTATTCATGTAGACAAGCAGCTGCTGGCCAACCACTGCATTTGGTGTTTTGACAAGGGGCTTTGATACATGTGACAATCTTGTGGGAGATGCTGCAGCAGTAATGTTTGCGTGCGTTTGTCCGTGTCTTTGTGCAGGCAATAACACTGATGACGAGTCTACTCATCTCATCAACAGGTAAGTTTTCCTCTGTAAAAATATAGCTTCAATGCTTGGAACAGTTTTGCAATATATAAATTTGATGCAACTACAAAATTCACTTTTTTCAAAGCTACCATGATACTGCTTGCTATTAGTGTTTTACAAAATATAATGTGGGATTGTTGTTGTTTATACAATTTAAATCCACATCTAAATACACTTTCTTTTATTAACAACATTAGAATGACTGATCGAACTCGACTTTGACTGTGGTTTCTCTTGTGAGTATGTTTTATTGAAATTTGCACTGCACAGATTTACACTTAAGGGAAACAAAAAAATAAAAAATATCAACACTGAACCTTCTGTTTGTTTTCATACATGTAAAAATAATACTGCTGTGTGTTCCTGCAGGTGATGCTTATGACAGTTAAGATTTTGAGGCCCTGGAAACAGCCAGACTGCTGAAAGTGGCAAGCCAAGATGTCCAAAGCCCTCATAAGAACTTCCATCAGATGAAAATAGGGCTGCGCAATTTTTCCCAAAATGATAATTATGATTATTTGTTACAATTATTTATGATTTTTGTAACCAACCTTTTATAGTGCACTGTCATTTAAAGAGAAGAGTTCTGGTTCATATTTGCACAAATTCCTGAATTTAAAAAAAAATTGGCCTTACTAACATAAATTCAGTGCACTGATGCACTATTTAGGCTGTATACACCGCAGTACTTGATTTGTTTTTGCTTCACATTGTATTGACAGAACACACACTTCATTATGGTTATTTAATTGTGGAAGCCAAAATTGTGATTGAGATTTACCAAGTTTTACCAGAACAACACCAATAGGCAAAGTATTTATGATCATAATGCAGAATGTGGTTCTGTTCATTTAAGTCGCACCACCATCACAAGGAAATTTAAAGTTTACAAAGGTCATGAGTGTTGTTGGTTCCACAATTAAAAATGTTTGGCTCTACTCCAGAAAGCGTGTCCAGCAAACCAGCTTCTTCTCATTAACGTACTTTTCAAAATGCTGTTCAACATCATTTAATGACTATATTTCCACACACAAACCCATTTCAACAAAATGTTGTCTGTTTTGACAATAAGATTGCTGAAATTAATTTTTTAATTAAATATCAAAATTGTTTCAGCTTTGCCTTAATGTAAATAGTCTCAGATGTTGTGACAGACATTTTTCTGTCACTGTTTACGACACACCATGTGAGAAAGATTACACAAATATAAGTCCATTTATCAAGTGGAACACAAGCTGTAGCTGGTATTAATCCTGGATAAATGGGAGGGTCGAGTCAGTAATGATATCTTTGATTTTTTTTTTTTTTGCCTGTCCCGTTTGGTTTTTTTGCCATCAGAATTATTGTCTAAAGGCGAAGGAAGATGCCCAACGGATTTACTTTACCAAATTGACCATCCCAGCCTTGCCGTAATGGTCTATTTGATTTACCTTTTATTGTTTATTTTATTTATTTTTTATTTTCACTTGCTAGATACGGGACAGACTTGAATGAGGAAAAGAAAAGGGAGAAAGGAAGAGGGGGGGAAAAACAGCGGGATGGAGCGGGGGAAAAAAGAGGGACGGGGATTACAACATCTTCAGCATCTACAGTGAGGTCACGCACACAAAAAAAGTAGAAAAACTGATTTCATTACACTAGTTGAGCAATGAAAAATCATGCGGCCACTCAACTAATCTTAAAGGCTCATGAAAGAAAAAAATTATGACAAAGTTAAATGTATTGAGTCTGTCAAAACTAAAAAACAAAACTACGATAAAATAAAAAAGGAAACACAAATTGTTCTTGCTTTTTCCAAAAATGGTGACACGGTGAAAATGGTTGTCAAGAGCCCCATACCCTTTGTCGTAATAATAATGATAACGAGTGAAAACTAAGAATTTGTAAAATAAGAGTTCAACACTCGTCTGTACAAAACAAGCAAACAAACTACTGCGATCATTCTGTCTCTACACAGCCGTGTGTGCTTTGACCAGAGATTCTAGTGCATCACCAATCTCCTCAGAATCTGTTTTACTCTCAACTTCCTGCAACAACGCGTCAGGTTTGCCTTCCTTTGACCCCGCAACACAGGCTATAACGTTTTCTAGGTGAGGATTTCCCTTTGCCTCCTGCTCAACTCTTTCCAGCACCTCCCCATACTCATCTATCTTCAGATTATCCACAAAGTTTTCAAATATAGTGAGCAGAGCAAAGGCGTACTCAATCACATTCTGTTAGGATGCCTGGGTCGTTGACCCAGGGGTTTTGAGTTTATTATATTATTTATAATTTCTAGTCTTTGGGTTTTCGTTAGAGTCATGTCTTATGGTTTGTCTCTGTGTAATCCTTAGTTGCTGTCTCCCCTGTCGGCTATATCCCCGTGTTCAGTCAGTGTCTGTCTGCCCTGGTCCCACGTCTCTGTTCCCTCTGTTGTAGTGCCTGCATGTGAGTCTGTGTCTTTTGTTCAGTCTGTGTTATGTGTTTCCTGTTTTACTTTGAAGGTCTCTGTCTTATCTCAGTGTGTTCAGTTTACGCTTCCTTGTCTCGTCAGTTCTGATTTGCCCCAGCTGTGTTTCCC